GAGCGACGTGCGCCGCCGCGGCGACGGCCGCCCGGGCAGGACGCCGTGGAGGAGCCGCCCGTCGAAGAGCAGGAGCCCGCGCTCCGCGTTCTCCGCGACGAAGCCGACGGCGCCGGCGTCGCCGGCGTCCGACGGGTCCCGGTCGGTCACGACCGTGCGGCCGCCGGACGGCGGCGCCTCCAGGAGCACGACGGCGGAGCACATGGGCAGCGCGCCCGACGCGACGTCGGCGTCGAAGTGGAGCTCGTGGCCCGCCGCCGACGGTTTCGCGTGGGCCCAGAACTCGACGGTCGCGCAGGGCCGGTCCGCGAGGCCCGCGGACACCGCGGCGGCGAGCGCGGCGCGCGCGACGTCGCCCAGGAGGCCCGGCGCGTCCGCGAACGCGTAGGAGAAGTAGCCCGTGGCCGGGTCGTCGTACGCGTGCGACGACCAGAAGTCGGCGTCGAGACCGGCGACGAGCGCCGCGCGCGCCGCCTCGGGCAGGAAGCCGCGCGCGGCGAAGACGCCGGCCGGCGCCGCGGCGCCGGCGGGCGCGAGCGACCCCGCCCAGACCGCGTCCGGGTAGCGGAAGCGCGCGCCGCTTCGCGCGAGGAGCGCGTCCGCCTCCGCGGAAGCGCCGCGCCGGAGCAGCGACGCCGCGAGCGCGTCCGTCGCGACGGCGGCGAGGGCTCCGCCGCCGTCCTCCTCCTCCTCGAGCGCCGCGAGCGCGGCGCGCAGCAGCGCCTCGCCGCGGCCCGCGGCCGCGCCGCGGTTCGCGCGCGCCGTCGCCGCGTCGATCCACGCGGCGGCGGCCGGCCGCGACGGCGCCGCGGCGAGCGCGCGCGCGACGACGCCCGCGCCGCGCGCGAGGCGCGCTCTCGAGGGCGCGGCGCCGGGCGCGGCGGCGGCGTCCCGCTTCGCCGGCGCGGCGGCGGGCTCGTCGGCGGCGTCATGCTTCGCCGACGCGGCGGGCTCGTCGGCGGCGCGGCGCTGCTTCGCCGGCGCGGCGGGCGCGTCGGCGGCGCGCTCGCGCTTCATCGCCGCTTCTTCGTGCGCGCGCCGCCGCCGAACTCGTCGACGGCCGACGCGGCGGCGCAGCCGCCGATGGGCACCTGGAAGTAGGCGAGGAGGCCAAGCACGGTCAAAGCGATGGCTGGCACGAGGAGCACAGTCCAGTCCTCCATGCAGCGGCGCGAGCCCAGAGCCGGCGCGCGCGGGGCGTCTTCACGCGCTAGTGGCGCCGCAACCAGCGTGTGCTTGGCATAAGCTCGGCAAACATGTCGTCGATGCCCGAGGGTTGCACATATGATGCCGCAACCATTAGATCGACCTGAAGACGGGCTTGGAGCGGTCCGGGGGCTTGTCCGCGGCGGCGGCGGGCTGCGGTGGCGGCGGCGGGCCCGGCGGCGGCGGCGCCGCGTCCGCGGGCGTCGCCGCGTCGCCGTCGCCCGGTCGCGGCGACGGCGGCGGCTTCCGCGCGACGGGCGCGCCGGGCTCGTGGTTCGGCAGCATGGACCGGCCGGCCGGGGCGCCGCCGAGGGCGTCGAGCGGGAGCTTCGGCATCGCGGAGCGGCCCGCGCGCGCGGCCGGCTCCGCGGGCGTCGGGCGGCGCCGCGGCGGCGGCGCCCGCGGCGGCGGCGGCGTCCGCGGCGGCGCCCGCCGGCGGCGCCGCGGCGCCCGCGGCGGCCTTGAGCTTGGCGGCGGCGGCGGCGGCCTTGGCGACCTTGGAGACGCGCGACTTGCGCTTCTCCTTCGGGGGCGCGGGCGGCTCGGCGACGTAATCCGGGTGCGTGACGCGGAGCCAGTAGTCCTCGCCGCCGACGACCTTGCGCGGGACGTGGGCCTGGGGGATCCGGCAGCCGCTCTTGCCGCAGGTCTCCACGCTGCACTCCAGCTTGGGCACGACGAGGCGGTGGCACCAGCACCCGCACTTGGGGCCGGGAGGCTCGCCCTTGTCCCGGCCCATCGCCGCGGGGCGCGGACGGCGGCGCGAGACGAGCGCGGCGCCGAGCGACGGCGAGACGGACGCGACGACGACGAGCCTCTCCGCGACTACGGGCTGCCCATAGTCGAGGCGCTGGATGTCGCACCCCTTCAACAAAACTCGGTCGTTGGGCAGCCCCGCGCGCCGAGCCATGCCGCCGCCCCACGACGACGAGGCGCTCGAGGTCTGCGACCACGTCGACGGCCTCGACGACCACGACGTCCTCGAGGCGAGCGCGGCGCTCAAGGACATCACGAAGAACGTCAACAGTTTCATGAGCCGCCAGGACAAGGTGCCGCGCCGCCCGCCCCGTCCCCGCCCGCCCGCCGGCGCCGACGGTCGCGCCGCGCCCCCCCCGCCGCGCAGCAATCCGACGACGTCGGCCCGACGAAGGGCGCGACGCTGCCCCGCGTGGCGGCGGAGAACGCGCGCGCGCGGCGTCCGAACGCGATCGCGGCGCGGCGCGCGACCGCGGGCCCCGCGACCGCAGAAG